AATACCAATGGTTTTGAAATAAAGTGAGGTGGTACAAAAAACTTAACCAAGCTCAATACACTTTCTAAGTCAAAAAAAGGGCCATAATTCTGTCAAAAACCTTGACAGAGTTATGTACTCTTGTCTGTAGATGGAGGTTATGATGGTGAACAAGTATTGGTAAGTTTCAAAGCCATACTTGTAATACTTCTGAAATAAAGTGGGGTGGTACGAAAAAACTTAACCAAGGTGTGACGCCGACGCCGACGCCGGGGCGAGTAGGATAGCTCCCCTTTTCATAGAAAAGTCGAGCTAAAAATGTGTGGGTAAATTTCATTCTCAGTTGTTGGAATTCGATTTCAGGTTTTCCCCCTTTTCTGATTTATTGTGCTATATTTTCCCCTTCGGAAAATCACAGGTTGTTATGAAAATTGAAAGAAGAATCACAGTATCAAGTTTAAATGTATTTGCATGTTACAAATATTTTGTACTTTTCAGATCACATCTCAAACCGCGCCAAAATAAATTGGGGTTTTCTTACCTACCCTCTTTTTTCATTGCTGACCTTAGACTTTTGCCTTTCAACTTTTTTTTACAATATAGACCTGATATGAAATCAACAAGTAATGTGTCCGCTCATTAGTGAAGTCTTTGGATTGACAGCTTGGCAGACAAGGGCAAAACTGTAAGCCCACCACTTACCCCTCTTAAGCAATGAGGGTATGAAAAGATAAAATTTACACAATACTTACATGATGGGGGTGTCTGTGCGACACTTCCATCAGTATTTCCTCCTTCCTCGTGTGTCCGCAAGTGACGTTCATACCTGAACTTGTGTTTAAAGCGTTTGTTACATTTGGCACACTGGAACGGTAATTCTCCTGTATGCTGGAACATGTGGTTCTTCAAATGATGATGAATGTAGAACAGTTTGTCACACACATGGCACTTGTATGGCTTCTCACCTGTGTTATTATAATAACAATAATAATAATAATTAACATGATGATAAAATAAAACAAAACACAGAAATATCAATGTGTATTCTTCTTGAATTCAGTAAAAGTTAAAAACAAGCCATACAAACACAAACATGTGGTGATGTATCTAATGCAAACGTTTCATTAGTGCATAACATATTAACTTGAAATAACATCATAACGGAATACATGTTTTTTGCTCTTTCCTTTTTCACTGAATTAACTGACATATAATTTGACTAGACTTGTTCTCAAATAAGATGTTAATATTTGTATCATAAAAACTTGCATGCATATGTAGCCTGATATACTTTATTTTTTCAACATAAGTAACATTTCAATAATAATCTTAAAAATAAATATTTTGTGTTCACCACGAACATTACATTGCATTTTTTCTTGTGTTGAACTTGGTCAAATATGTTTTAGTTTCAATGTAAATATGACATGACATTATACATGTACAATAATCAGAATATGATGAAAATCAAATATACCAATAATACAGAATTTGTGAAAAACTGCTTGAATTAAAAAAAAAAATCTGTATTCAACCATTTATTCATGGTTTCAATGAGTATTCTGGTCCAACCACTTAGCTTAATAGGAAGAGGGTTGGCTTTGTAAACCATCGGCTTGCTGGTTTATTTATTAAGAAACTAGAACTATCACTAAATGTGATTAATACCCCCACAAGACTGCTTCGGAAATGAGGATGTTACTAGTAACAGAATACCTTGTAAAAGAATTGAAATATAGAGTTATGGTTGTGGGCAATTAAAGATAGTTGTGGTTCTTGTATGTTGCATTTCCTTTCAATGTGGTTGGTCATTGATGAAGTTTTATTGAATTACTCTGTAATAAGTCCAGAAAGACAAGGAAAAGGAACATAGGACAATTACTCTATAAATACTGAAGATGGAGTTATAGTTCTTGTGCACTGCACTTCCCCTTATTGTGCTTGACCATTGTATGAAGTTATATTGAATTCCAACCATTAGTCTTCAAGTAATGCTCTGGACAAAAAAAGCAATGGGAAAGTAACAAAGGGCAATAACTCTGTAATTAGTCAAGATGGAGTTATGGCTCTTGTGCACTGCACTTCCCCTTATTGTGCTTGACCATTGTATGAAGTTGTTTTGAATTCCAAACAGTAATTTTCATGTCATGCTCTGCACAAGGAAAAGTAACAAAGGGCAGTAACTCTGTAATAAGTCAAGATGGAGTTATGGTTCTTGAGCACTGCACTTCCTCTCCATGTGCTTGACCATCGTATGAAGTTATAATGAATTCCAACAATTAGTCTTCAAGTTATGGTCCGGACAAAAGAAAGCAATGGAAAAGTAACAAAGGGCAATAACTCTGTAATTACTTTAGATAATGTTATGGTTCTTGTGCACTGCACTTCCCCTTATTGTGTTTGACAATTGTATGAAGTTGTTTGTAATTCCAACCGGTAGTTTTCAAGTTATGCCCCGGACAAGGAAAAGTAACAAAGGGCAATAACTCTGTAATTAGTCAAGATAGAGTTATAGTTCTTGTGCACTGCACTTCCTCTCAATGTGCTTGACTATTGTATAAAGTTATATTGAATTTCAACCATTAGTCTTCAAGTTATGGTCCGGACAAAAGAAAGCAATGGAAAAGTAACAAAGGGCAATAACTCTGTAATTACTTTAGATAGAGTTATGGTTCTTGTGCACTGCACTTCCCCTTATTGTGTTTGACAATTGTATGAAGTTGTTTTTAATTCCAACCAGTAGTTTTCAAGTTATGCCCCGGACAAGGAAAAGTAACAAAGGGCAATAACTCTGTAATTAGTCAAGATAGAGTTATGGTTCTTGTGCACTGCACTTCCTCTCAATGTGCTTGACCATTGTATGAAGTTATATTGAATTCCAACCATTAGTCTTCAAGTTATGCTCCGGACAAGGAAAATGCAACGGACGTCTGGACCGACCGACCGACCGACCAACCAACCGACCAACCGACCACCGGGTGACTCCTATATACCCCCCCAAACTTCGTTTTTGGGGGTATAATAATTTTAGTTGGATTGTGAAGGATGCTATAAGCTTAAAAACACACTCTGGAATCATGCTTCTGGAACAAACCAGTACTGAGTAATGACTGTGTGAGTGAATAAGTGTAATGTTTCTTGCTCAAGGAAACAATGGCTTGCCTTTGATAGTCACAGTATTTGAACCAACAAAACAAGAGATCCTCAGATTACAAAATACAAATCCATTACAATAACCACTCATATATGGAATCTTTTCTAATCTGAATGAAGTGTCTGGTTCTATTTTCAATAGTAACAAGCAATTATCATAGTATTACAAGCAATCCATAAGTCCCCTACCAGTTAGAACCCCAGCAATATTCTGATGGGACATTGGCCATTCAATTTTACCAGTGAATGAATGACATGAATGAACTTAAATCTTATGAGTTCTAAGTTTGTCTATATCACAGTAATGTGCTAAGTTTTCCTGCCTAGTAAGGAAATTATGTTCATTCAACCTTGTCATATTATTACGATGTGGGATTTTAAAGTAAATCCTATAAGGAATGGAGAAGTTGGAATGAAAAATACCAATTTCTCGAAAAAAATCTAAGTTCAAGGGGGACATAATTTTGGAAATAGTCTTGCTAGAGTATTTAACCTTCTCAAAAATGTTGAGTGATAATAAGAAACATTTATTATATACTTTTAAATGAAATATTGAGAAATATTGATGAAATAAAATGCGTATTTTCATTTTCCGTATTTTCACTGTAAAAATTTATTTTTCACTGCAGTGAAACATATTTTCCGTATTTTCACTGGTGTCTTGCCGGACTACTTTCTTTTAAATTCTGCCAGTACTCAAAATTTAAGGGAAAGTCTTTCAGTTTTAATGTACAAAGAGAAAAATGTATATAATAAACAGAAAATTCAAGTTTTTTCTATAAATACATGATTTATTTTCATCTTGTGGCATGAAAATTACCATATTTCACTCGTGGCTACCGCCACTCATGAAATATTTATTTTCATACCACTCGATGAAAATAAATCATGTATTTATAGAAAAAAACTTGAATATCCTCTATATATATGAATTTTGAAGTAGATACATTAGGAAATAAAGAAGTTCTTTAAAAACAACATTTTTTTTCATAAAAATTCTAAGTTCAAGGGAGGTAATACTGATAATTTTTGTGCTAGAGTTGTAAACCTTGTCAAATATGATGTGGTTGCTGACCAGAAACTTATATTTAAAGTTTGATGTAAACACCTTAAGAAATAAAGTACTTATAGTGAAAAAGCTGAAAATTTTAAGTCAGAAATCTTGAAATTCAGGCTATTTGTTGCCATAGCAACCAGAATTTTCAACATAGGAAGAAAAGAAAAAGATGTGCATAATCTCCAGACTGCCATCTACCCATATTTCAAGTTTCATAAAAATATTTTCAGTACTTTTTGAGTTATCACTGGATCCAGTTTATGTGTTAAATTTGCCAAATTTGACTATTTGTTGCCATAGCAACCAGAATTTTCAACATAAGAAGAAAACAAGAGGGCCATGATGGCCCTGAGGTCGCTCACCTGTATATAGGCCCCCTCCCCACCCCCGGGCCAATTTTTACCCAAGGGCTTTTATTTGTTTATTTGAACAGACTTGGTAGGCACCCATAAGAAGATGTTTCATGCTAAAGATCTAAGTTCTAGCTCATTGGCTTTTTTAAAAGAAGATTTTTAAAGTTTTTACTATACACATATAGTTAAAAACAATGACACCCCTGGGGCAGGGCCAGTTTTGACCCCCAGGCGTTTATTTTAACAAACTTTGTAGATATTTATTTAAAGATGTTTCATGCTTAATATCTAAACTCTAGCTATTTGGGTTTTTCCAAAGAAGATTTTTAAGTTTTTGCTATACACATATAAGGAAAATCAATGACCCCCCCGGGCGGGGCCAGTTTTGACCCCAGGGCTTTTATTTGAACATACTTGGTAGACACCCATTAGAACATGTTTCATGCTAAATATCTTAGCTCTAGCTCTTTGAGTTCTTTAAAAGAAGATTTTTTAAGTTTTTACTATATGCATATAGGGAAAATCAATGACCCCCTGGGGCTGGGTCAATTTTGACCCCAGGGCTTTTATTTGAACAAACTTGGTAGACATTCACTAGAAGATGTTTCATGCTTAATATCTAAGCTCTAGCTCTTATGGTTCTTTAAAAGAAGATTTTTTAAGTTTTTACTATATGCATATAGGGAAAATCAATGACCCCCTGGGGCAGGGCCAATTTTGACCTCAGGGCTTTTATTTGAACAAACTTGGTAGACACTCATTAGGAGATGTTTCATGCTTAATATCTTAGCTCTAGCTCTTTGGGTTCTTTAAAAGAAGATTTTTTAAGTTTTTACTATATGCATATAGGGAAAATCTATGACCCCCTGGGGCGGGGTCAATTTTGACCCCAGGGCTTTTATTTGAACAAACTTGGTAGACATTCACTAGAAGATGTTTCATGCCAAATATCTAAGCTCTAGCTTTTACGGTTCTTTAAAAGAAGATTTTTTAAGTTTTTACTATATGCATATAGGGAAAATCAATGACCCCCGGGGCGGGGCCAATTTTGACCCCAGGGCTTTAATTTGAACAAACTTGGTAGACACTCACTAGAAGATGTTTCATGCTTAATATCTTAGCTCTAGCTCTTTGGGTTCTTTAAAAGAAGATTTTTAAGTTTTTACTATATGCATATAGGGAAAATCAATGACCCCCAGGGGCCGGGCCAATTTTGACCCCAGGGCTTTTATTTGAACAAAATTGGTAGACACCCATTAGAACATGTTTCATGCTAAATATCTTAGCTCTAGCTCTTTGGGTTCTTTAAAAGAAGATTTTTTAAGTTTTTACTATATGCATATAGGGAAAATCAATGACCCCCCCGGCGAGGCCAATTTTGACCCCAGGGCTTTTATTTGAACAAACTTGGTAGACACTCACTAGAAGATGTTTCATGCCAAATATCTAAGCTCTAGCTCTTATGGTTTTTTAAAAGAAGATATTTAAAGTTTTTTCTTTTGGTTGCCATGGCAACCAGAGTTCTGCATGGAATTAAATTCTTTGAACAATTTTTAAAGGTGACCACCAAAGGAACATTCCTGTGAAGTTTGGATGAAATTGGCTCAGTGGTTTATGAGGAGATGTCATTTAAAGCAAAAGTTTACGGACGGACGCCGGACGAAAAGCGATCACAAAAGCTCACCCTGTCACTTTGTGACAGGTGAGCTAAAAAAAAGACTAGCATAATCTCCATACTGCCATCTATCCATATATCAAGTTTCATAAAAATATTTTCAGTACTTTTTGCGTTATCGCGGGATCCAGTTTTGTGGACAGACTGACAGACAGACAGACGGACGGAGGGTAAACCTAAAGTCCCCTCCGGTTAAACCGGTAGGGGACTAATAACCACTCATATATGGGATCACTCGCTGGTTTTGACCATCAGGCAAGGCTATATTTCTCCATGACATTTGATCTTGGAAATAGAGCGTAATAAGGTAATTGTTATTTGTCTCTCATTGGCCTATCAAAAATCATGTGTGTTTATTATTTGGTCACATGCAGAGAAATGGGTAATTACTAGTTATTTATCAAGGAAAGTTTGTTATGTCAATTGACCACCAAGATATAACCAAATCACTGTGTTAAAATCAGGGTAAAAAAAAACAACAGAAAAATAAACAAATAGAATTCTGAAATCTGAACGTTAAAAAATTTAATTCAACTGGACTTTTAAAATAGACAGATGCAAGAGATAGTAAAATAATTTATCACAATTACATTGAAAACCTTGGCTTATTTTGTATGCAAATATTAGCCTGATTTAAGTTAAAAGCTTTCATTTTTGGGTCATTTTTACAATTGAAATATTTTGTTTTCAGAAAAATCAAGTGTGTGAATGATCTCCAAACTTGCACAAAAGTTATTCATCCAAAGACCTTCATCAAATAGTACACTACACATTTGTCAAAATAATATTTCCAGTTCATCATGTCAAAAAACCCTCAAATAATTAATTCCTTTAATTTAACAACAGATGTTCCATGTTTAAAGCTTGCCTTGTTAATCAAAGGACTGGAAAAGAGCAATGGTTGAAAATATTCAAGCTACAAACCTGTATGCACTCGCATGTGCTTTGTAAGGTTGTGTTTTTGGGTGTAACTGTTCCCACAAAGTTCACACGAGAATTTTTTCATGCCTGTGTGAATTTCTCGATGTCGTCTCATGCTGGCACTCGAGCTGAACACCTTGTCACATATATCACAGTGGTGCTCCGTGCTGGAATTCTGTAAACATATCGTAAATTAATATTATAACAGATAGGAATGGACCTTTACTTTAGGGAAACAAAACCTACATCAAAAACCTTTTGGATTATAAGAAAAGGTACTTTATGTGCAATGTAATTACATGTATAAACTTTTTTGTAATTACAAATGAAAACCTAAACTGACCAGGTATGTTGTGATATGGTTAACTATTTCTTTCCTTGAAAAATAAATATACATGTAGAAAGTTATAAGCCTATTAAAATGAGACATCAGCACTGGTTAGTTACAGTTGAAGGACTTAAAAAAAAAGAATAACATAGTCATTAAATTCATACACTGCAAGAATTTGTTTAACAATTAAGATTAAAAGAACATACATTAACTAAACTTAAATATTAAAAAAAATATACTACAGAATACATGTATGCGAGGATAGAGCTGTCATCAATGAAATCGATATTCATGTATAGTAGATAGTTTTTGTGGCTTGATTATTGATAAATGTTTGAAAACAGTGATAATTTCAGCTAATTAATAAAATGTTTAGAAATGATGAAAATTCGCCAAAAAAATACACAGAACCAGGTGTCCTGTCAAAAAAAAGGCATGTTTTAAACTATGTCCTTGTTTCTTTTTGGATTTTATTTATTATTTTGTTTATAGCAGTGATGACAAAGTATGGCCTGAAAAAATATGCATAGGGCATTCATAAACTTTACACACCCTAATTTTATGCACATGGCAAGCATTTTACAAAAATTATAAAACAGATATAAAAGTGAGGGCATTCATAAACTTTACACACCCTAATTTTTTTGCGCATGGCAAGCATTTTACAAAAATTGTAAAACAGATATAAAAGTGTAGTGTAGATAACTAATACTTGGTATATTGATATATCATAAAAATATTGTTGTCCGATATTGATATATTTCTAAATACTTCTGATTAAATTAATGACAGCTCTAGCAATGGAGAACATTTTTACCATGGGTTTCTTGGGAGTAATGTATTTACTATCTCCATTTACTGCCACAGGTAAAGAGGACTGGTTTAAGGGTTGGTTGTTATAAAGATTAGGGGTTTGAGCATTGGTCTGAAGTGTCCCCTGAGGCTGAGTTCCTGGTGTATACTGAAATCCGGTTGGCTGAAAGGGTACGTGCCCATAAGTCCCTGAACCGTCGTATCCATAATTATGGTTGTTGTTGCTGACATCGTAATGGTAGGGCTCACTTTCAAATTTGATTGGTCCAATTGAGTTGCCTATCTGCCCATTGAAGGATGCCGTATTTGTAGCAGGGTAGCCATCCATCCTAGATATTCCCTGAAAGATTCAGAAATCTAATAGTAACAAGCCATTATGAAAAATTAACTTCAACTCAAGATCTCTTACAACTGGCCAATTTCTGAGTGACAAATTCACCTAAAGTTTTGGAACTTTGCCAAGTTTGAACATCAAAGCAAAAATGACTTTGCTGTGTTTTTCATTACCATACCATGTTTATGTAACACTTTGTGCTCGTCAATAAACTACAAAACTAAATTAGGTATTGCTAATTGACAGCAATTAACATATCAAATTATCATGATTCATCACGTTTGTGGTTCCATTGCCATTTTAAAGGTACAAAATTACTAAGCACAATTTAAATGACACAGGACTGTACTTTCATCAGCAAGTTTACACGGCAAACACCTTGAATCGGTCAAAATTACCATATTTGGCAGTAGTCCTACACAAAGATCTCAATGACCATGTAAATTTATATGTAACAAGAGCTGTCACAGGAGACAGCGAAGCTCGACTAATAAAATGCTGGACGCAGTAAGGAGGACAAAACTATGAAAGAAAAATCAATTATGTATAATTAAGTATTAAGTTATACAGTAAACTCCGCTTATAACGAACTCATTGGGACATTCAAAATCTGTTCCTTATATCCGGAGTTCCTTGTAAGCATATAGCGAATTAGTTCCTTGTATCAGGAGTTTTTATAGCGAACAAATTTACGTTTGTTTAACAATCTTATTGTTCAACATCGTCCGCCATTTTTAAGAGCATTTGATTTAGAATAATATGTCATTTATTTCTTTTTTAGACACAATACCCGAGAGCGAACATTTTGGAATTTGAAAATCCTTTGCCATTTCTATCTAAGTGTTACTCCCTTTCCCAATTTTTCATAAAATATCATTATTATTTTGTTTCTTCACTCAGTGCTTTTCGTTTTCTTTCAATGAATAAGAATAAACAAGATTTTCCATTTTCTTCCTTTTATATTGAATATCTTCTATTATATTTTAAGGGTGACTTTAACTAATGAAATATATCGATTACTTTTCATTTCAATCAAGCATACTTTGAAGTTTTCTATGGGTTTTGTTTGCAAGTATGTGATTGTGATTATGTTGAAAACCGATAATTGTTTTACTCGAGGAAAACTATTAAAGAAAAGAAATTAGAGAATAAAAGGGATTACCGTTTTATCTTTGTGACATGAACTCATGCAAAACTATCCTAAATAGAAAACTATTATATACTTGTACATGTTCTAAACACATTTATTTTCATAGATATATTGAATGACATACAACAATAAACGGTAGATTCCGCGAGTTTTAGACCGTGCCAATGAAAACGAAAGTTGAAAATGCGGGATATATTTACGAATAGCCGATATTTGTGTTCGTTATAAAAGTGTAATTTTCTGCACTTTTAACTAAATTGGGCCAAAGAAATGAGTTCCTTATAAGCGATAATTCCTTATAACCGTGTTCGCTTTAACCGTATATTTTCATATTGAATAAAGAAGGGCAAAATTCGGGCCAAAATAAATTGTTCCTTATAACCGGAAGTTCGCTATAACCGTGTTCGCTATAAGTGTAGATTACTGTATTAGTAAAAATATAACATTTGTTAACATCAATTCCAAGATCAAGGGGAATAATTCTAGAAATAGTCATGCAAGAGTTATGGACCTTGCCACACAACATTTGTGTAATGATAAGAAATATATATTTGAAGTTTGAAGTAGATATCTTAAAAAATAAAGAAGTTATTATATTTCTTAAAGAAAATCCTAAGTTCAAAGAGAGATAAATCTGTAAATATTGCTTCAAGAGTTATGAACATTGTCACATAAAATGTAAATGATTATAAGGAATAAGTATTTGAAGTTTGAGGTAGATACCTTTAAAAATAAAAAAGTTACAATAAAAATAACATTTTTCTAGTAAATAAATCTAAGTTTATGGGGAGATAATTCTTGCAATATTGGTGCTAGAGTTATGAACCTTGTCACATAAGATGTGGATGATGATAACGTAAATATATTTGAAGTATGAAGTTGATCCCTTTAGAAATAAATAAGTTACAGTAAAAAATAATATTTTGTATGGAAAATTCTAAGTTCAAAGGGAGATAAATCTAAAAATATTGGTGCTAGAGTTATGAACCTTGTCACATAAGATGGGGATGATGATAATGTAAATATATTTGAAGTATGAGGTTGATCCCTTCAGAAATAAAGAAGAAACAGTAAGAAATAGTATTTTTTGAGGAAAATTCTAAGTTCAAAGGGAGATAAATCTGAAAATATTGGTGCTAGAGTTATGAACCTTGTCACATAAGATGAGGATGATGATAAGGTACATATATTTGAAGTATGAGGTTGATCCCTTAAGAAATAAAGAAGTATCAGTAAAAAATAGTATTTTTTAAGGAAAATTCTAAGTTCAAGGGGAGATAAATCTGAAAATATTGGTGCTAGAGTTATGAACCTTGTCACTTAAGATGTGGTTGATGATAAGGAACATATATTTGAAGTTTGAAGTTGATACCTTAAGAAATGACAAAGTTATAGTGAAAAATATTTTACTGCACCAAAACTTTAATCTAAAATCTGGACGCGGACGCCGGGGCGAGTAGGACAGCTCTCCATATACTTCGTATAGTCGAGCTAAAAATTAATGCCAAACAGTAAATGGCTAAGTAATGAGGGTTCGACACTTACTGTTTTTACAAGGGATCCCATAGGAATCCCTAAGTAAGATTTAATTCAGGGATTCCTCCTAAATGTCAGGGATTCCTCAGATCAAAATAGTAAAATATGAAGGCGAAGAATAACAAGGGAGTGCAGCAATCCGATTTCAAATTCTTTTTTTTAAGACCACATACAGGATATATATTTCCTTGTTTCAGATGCAGAAAATGTAGTTTAAAAGTCCTCTGGAAATATTGCTGTTTAAAGTTTTAAAAGTGTTTCAAAGTGTTTACTAGTATATATATATATATAATTGGACCGCTAAGATAAATTAATACATTTTTACATGCACGGAAACAGAATAACATTAAGCTCACTGAACAAGAGTTCGATTTGAAAATACAAATTTTGCTAAATCCTGTTTTCTCCCTGGTGTTGATAATTGTGAACCAGTTTCTGTAAATGAAGGTATAATGCAAGTGACTGGGCAATGGGACTTAGGGTTTGAACTTTTGAAGTTAAGTATGAACTGGGGAAACATTTTCCCAGATAGCCTAGGGTTCACTGAAATAGAGCCCACTTATGATCTGTAGATCTTTAAAAAATTACAGGTAATGACTAGGCTCCATATTCCAGAAAGTTCTGGTATGGATAACTACTATCATGTCATTTAAAAGAAATGTTTAATTATGATCACTTTAAAAAAATAAGTGATTTTCAGCTTACTGTACACTTTTTTTGTTTAAAAGGAAATATCCCATAGATTGTTGTAAATTAAATATTTTGTTAATTTTTTACTCAGAAAAAAGTTTTGTATATGCATTACAAGTAGGGTACCTTCAAATGATTTCATTTTTAAAAATAAAAAGTTGCTGCAAGTCCATGACAGGATGTGTAATATCCAAATTTATTGTTCTCAATTTTTACACTGAAATGTCCGATTCTTTTTTCTCTGTGTGTATTGATTTTTTTTTAAGTTTTGACATCTGTCACATCAAAGGCACTCAACGCATACAGCAGTCATGTAGACTACAGTAGTTCAGAACACTGATTGGCTGAAAGAACTGTCAGATGAAATATACGTCATTTGGTGTATGTTTCACCTAAGGATTTTTCTATTTTTTGTCGGTAAATTATGCGTGACCTTGATTGACCTTAGAACACTTCAGACTTTAGATAGCCAATATTTTTTAGCATTTTAAAGGCTGTAGAATTTCAAAAAGGATTTTAAACTGAAAAGTATGGATTATTTGTATTCTGTTTATTAATCTTACTTTTGCTGTACTGCAGGGAGAAAAAAAAATACATCAGTAATCTTTTTTTTTTCATCATCTTTTACGAAAATTTACAATGATCACAAATACTGAATTTTGGCACACAAAAACACTTGTTGACTTCGTAGCTATCACCGGCAACGCCGATCAGCACATATTTGAAGTACACACCGCTGGTGTAATAATTATACGATTATTACATTTCTTTTTTGAATTTTCACAACTTAATACTATGAAGTCAATGGATGATATAAAATTATTCAAGAATGTTTCTTTAGCCAAAATATTTTTCATTATATATCGCAAATGAGTTGATAGCAGTCACTGCACAAAGGAAAACTGGCGTACATGATACAAGAGAGTAGATTTTACCGGCGGGATTTTTCTTGTCTTTCTTGAACCTTGCAGTTGTGCCAGTCTTTTTTAACACTTTTCTTGAATATTTGTGATTCAATTAGGGATTAAACGATGATCGAGTATAATCGAAAATTGATCGTTTATAGAACCGATCGGCGATGATTGATTACAAAGTTTAATAATCGATTATCGGTAAAATATTATGACTCACTGTAGTATAACAACACTCTAAATTAAAGCCAGTTTTTGTTGAAACAATACCTTTCATTCAATTGAATATGAAAGCATACTGGTGACCATGGAGACAATAGTTGACAGTGAGGCATGCTAGCTTAAAGGTATACTTTGCTCAAAGATGACATTAGAAAATATTTAAAATTGCTACACCATCTATTTGTAAAAATAAAATAAATATGCTTTGACTTCACACAAAGAAGATATGTTATGTATAAAATTATTCTACACACTAAAGGTGGGTGCAATATCAATATATAGTGTCATTAAAAAAAAAACCTGGCAGTTTTGTTAAGAAAGGACCAACTTTTTTTTTTTAACTTGTTCCCATACAGTACATAGTTTATTCATTCCTTTTTTTGGAAGTGAGACATATTACTTTCATAGATTTTAATGAATTTATTTGATTAAAATATTTTACTCAAGGATGAGCATAGTGTATCTTTAAACTAATTTCAGTTGATAAAGTGGTGGTTACATGGAATTCTTATAAATATTAAAGTATGATATGTACATTGTACATATTTACTTTATTATTGTAAATGTTTCGATTACATAATCGATGATTGATCGAAAAGGGTTGTTCGATTATTTTCGATGATCGATTATGATTTTTGTCCGATTAAGAAACCCTAGATTCAATGATATTAATTCAGACAATTTAAAAAATTTACACAGCAATTTTTCAAGGATCCCAACGGAATCCCCAGCTAGGAATCACAGAGATTTCTCCCGACTTTTTGGGATCCTCGGAATCCCGTTAATGTCAAACCCTGTGTGTACATCAAATTAAAGTCAGTGCTCAGCATCTTGATATTGCTTGAGTAGCAGTTGCAAAGAAACAGATTTACAGCCCACTTTCAATTCATCATTTAAACACCTTTTTGAAATGTAACAAATTAGGTGTCATCTGATTTAGCGTGTTGGTAATTATTATTGTTACCTAAAGGAATTATGCATTCTAAGATTCTTTAACATTTATATCAATTCTATAAAAACCAAGAGCTGTCGGACGGACAGAGTGCTCAACTATTCTCAGTGTTTGAAAGTAAAACAAGAGCTTTGATAATGTAGATTTTTCCAAGTCCAAAAAGGGTCATATTTCTGTAAAAATCTAGGTTAGAGTCAAGGGCTTTAATGCTCAATCAACTTGCACCTAATAACTAAATCAATGTGCGACGCCCACACCTGGGCGAGTCAATACTCAAGCTAAAATTGATTTAATAAATGGAAACAAATTTTGCACTTGTTTGTATAAACATGATTATATTTCCAGTATTTGATTCAATAGACACTGCGTTCACACGTACACTGTAACACAACAGCCCAATTACTGCAGGAAGTAGCATTATGATGAAAGTTCATCTAATTATCCATGGAATACAATTCTCATTGTTAGCTGCAGGGAATATCAATGTGTTTGATAAAGCTTTGGCCTTGAGCTTTCATGTAGAAATTCTGACCCAGTATAAAAATATCACAGAATCAACCTTTTGCGCATCAATATATTTGACGTCAATTTAACTATGAACATCTCAAAACTCCCTATGTTTTGGCTGGTAATTTTTCTCCAGACACGACTATTTGCCAATCTTTGAAAGAACTTCCCTTTCTGGATATATTTGCCTAGTTTAATCTAATATAACAGCCTCGTTTTAGTGAAATTTATTCGATATACAGCTTTAAATATTACAAATACACAACCTACTTTTCATTTTAATTAAATACAATCTCCTTATTTGACAAAACTAGCGAACAAATAAATTTATATGCAGTTTATTACTGTTTCTTGAATTTATAACATTTACTGAGTAACCATTTGAATAAAAAGTCGTGAAGTGTTTTTGAAAGAAACAAGAATATTTTCAGGGCATATCCGCTTTCTAGTCCATATCCGAAATTTTCCCGTTTAACCACGGTTTTACTTTTTAGCATTTCCTGTGGAAATCTGAAGGAAGGCATGTAAATTATTGAACCCATAACATGCCACTTAGTTGACTTAACAGATTGATGGTCATATTTGAAACATTAATTTTTGCCTAAAAGCAAAACATTACTTTTTCTAGGAAATAATTCTTCCGTGTCCGGCGATGCAAATGGCGAGGGACGCGACTATGCAAGGGAGACAATAGCTCGATCAAAACATTCGCACTTTTAAATATCGTACCTTTGACAGTTATTAAGAACTGTCATAAGAAAGCCTTATACAAACATAATAAAATAGTATTCTTCCGGTCCTCTATTATGACAATGAAGAAATATGCAGAAGTATACTAAAGAATAGTATACTTAAAATATAGAGAATTAGAATCCCTATTTAAAGATAGTCCAGATTTACAGATTTATGCAAACACTATACATGGTTAAAGACATTTTAGAAAATAAGCACCATTTAATAATTTTCGCATCAGTCATCTTATTTTTTTCACAATCCGGTGTTTACTTCGTAAACTTTTTGTTCAAAATCGAATCTTCATTAATTGTTCAAAGATTAATTTAATTTTGATAGCCATTTAAGCTGTTTAGACCAAGTGCATGTAGAATAAATATCGATATATTTCGAAAAGCAGCATTTTATTTTCGTGACACATTAATTTTCATGACGTGATATTTCATATACATATACAGTTTTGGTTTTAACATGAACTTTTATTTTTCAATTTCATGAACAAAAATAGACTCTTCATACATTATATTTAAATTTAATCTTTGCATGCATGTATTGAATCTTAAGTTCGACGAATTACTTTAAACATAGACGTACAAACTTGTATATATACATGTATTATACATTTTGCCTGCCTAAAACTGAAAATGTCTTTAGTGCAAACAAAATTGAAATAGATCGTTTTTTCGTTACAATATAATTTTTCTTAATTGAATAATTAAAAATAAATGTAATACTGTATATAAAAGTTTTCATTTGTATGTCAATTATTCTAACACGCTTCAAACTATTCCCCTATCATAGGGCACTCACGTGCATAATTTTATTAGAAAATACGTACGTACGGTATGTTTTCAATCAACTTTGATAGAAATGCATTTTTTTCGTAGCATGTAAATGGACATAATAGATGCATTAATTAGGTTATTTCGTATTCATGTACATGTACCTTTCTTTTTTCTGCACAAAAGTTCATCGAACATTTGTTCTTACAATCTTTTTATGTGCAAACCATTTTAAATGACATTTCAGAACATAATGAACACAATCCCTTTCGTATGCGTTCGTTCTTTAATTTCTATTTCCACCGTACAAACGTGCAAGTTATCAAACTGAAACAATATGCATATTTTTATTTGTATATAATATATCATATCAAAACACATTCATTTCCACGATAGACATAGATCTGATTTAATTCTTATCATTCCAGCCATTTACAGCATAAATACATATTCACGGGGTGGAACCCCACATGGATCTCAGAAATGAGCATCGGTAAAAAATATACGTTCACGAATTTCCGCTGCTCCAGATGTGAAGCATAACGATTGACTTAATTTCACTGTCACATCTGGTGTTATGCTTCACATCTGGAGCAGCGGAAATTCACTTATACATGTATCTTTTACCGATGCCCATTTTTGAGATCCATATATAGGGTTCCACCGCCGTGATATTCATGCACTAATCATTTTCGTACTGGACTCCTCTATCTAACTTTTGTGAAAGTAGGCTAGGTGGGCGAATACAATTCGCGATCCCTTATTACGTGCGCATCTCTTATATTTTTACGGAACTGTAAATTAGTCTGATTTTGCTCAAGAGATTTAACCATTTTTTTTTACAGAAATAGTGTCACCAAGTACCGTGACGCATATTGTCGTGGGGTTTTGTGATTCATTTTTGGCAGAATTATGTCCTTTTGTTTGGTTTTGTTACAATTTCATACCGAATAAAACTTGTATAATACAAATAGAACTTTATTGTTTGTGTATGTCTGTAGTCTATGTCTAATATACAAGGGTCCATCCGCCCGTTGAGGGCACAAACAGCAGCTGTACATGGTGCTGTCGAGTACGGACCCCGGACATGTCACCAGTCATGCTCATAAGGTAATCGCTATTGACCCACCGTTAGCGGTAGTACATTACGGGGACACCAGTGAGGAGAGGTTTCGGTAGAAACCGTAGCTCCGCCCTTATGGTGAGAAGGTGTAAAGTTACTATTTTTTTTTCATTCCCGAGGAAGGTTTAATTTTGAAGCACAAAGTGGTGATAATTCATTGTGTACACCGGTCTTATTGATATCGATATTTGAGAGACCGGTGTGTAATGCAATGGGTGAGTAAATGAGTACAGCAGTAAATGAGGACCTGAATGTATACTAACCTGAGTCAATATAACAAGGGTTGTTATGCCAGAAAAAGGGCCTGCCTTTCAGCCCGCCACTCTCTGTGCTAGAGGCCCATGCACCCTAGCACAATAATTATTTCCTTGTCGTCCCTGCTAACTTTGTATAGCCACTCAGGACACCGGCAACTTCATACAATCTAAGTCGTGCCCCCTTAATCTCTTCTACCGATGCCTTGTGCCGCACATAGCAATGGGAAGAGAGAGTTATTGTTTGTGAATACAGGCACTTCAATTTATATGTGTAGGTGTGTACGGCAACAATCTAGGGTTATTTGTAAAACCAAATGCTTAATTATCTTCCCTAGTATCATTAGTACCCGAGCATCATTTCGGATTTATAAAATACGGAAAAAAGTTGATTAAAAAAAGAAGTTTTTTTTAAATATAGGCGAGAGTGTGCGCGTGCCTTCGTGTTTGTGTGATAGAAAATCATGTCTGATTGTTCTTGCAAGTTATCCCCCCTTCAGAAAAACCCATCTATTTTTAGTTCAAAATATATGTAGATTTATTGATGCATAGATGCAAATGCGTTATCATAGTAACCGCATACAACTGATATCATAGCAATATTGAGCGGGAGCGTGTCATTTATCTCACATTATTATTGCTTTTTCGCATCTGTCACGTATTCAATCCTTACCGTCGGAGAAACGATAGTACATGTATATTGAACTAGCTGCTAAGAGAGTGCTTTATTACATGCTTTTCGGTGGTTTATAGAAATATATCAGTGATATAAAAATGGTAATTTCACTGTTTGAAACAGTGAAATTACCACTTTGATAATTTCACTGTTTTGAATTTAAGCCCCTTACGTTATTTCAGTGAAATACCAGCGTGCACAGAACTGAGAACCAACTTAATGACGTGACGTCGTAAATGACGTCACGTTATATTATTATTTGGCGCGCTTTTCATTCAGTATTAGGTTAAATGTCTTTTTAAAACGTTTCTTTGCATATAATAAAAAGAAAATTTGTTTAGTTTAATGTAAGATTGAAATATATTTCACCTTGTGAACACCAAAAGTTCATATTTCACGAGTGGCGCAGCCACTCGTGAAATATAACTTTTGGTGCTCACTCGGTGAAATATATTCCGATCTTACACTGAACTAAACAAACATCCTCTATGTAATTTATATTATCGATATATGCAAATTTGTGGAATATTAAAATTGTATTCTAATCTTTCTTGTTATCTATCTAAAAGGCAATTAAATAAGCCTGATTGGAAAACAATCTACAAGCAGTGGCTCCAATTT